TATTTTATCATATATGTTAGCCCCCCAGTGGCACAGCGGTATGTCTGCGGACTTACAACGCTAGAATCCGGGTTTCGATACACGTGGTGGGCAGAGCACAGATAGCCCAATGTGTAGCTTTGTGCTTAATTACAAACAAACAAACAAACATATATGTTAAACATTTTTGACAGTCTTTCCTTGGACAAGCTAATTAGTTATTCCTAAACATTTCACTTACTCGAATTAAACTCAGAGTATCTGTTATTAGTTTTAGGAAATAGTTTGAAAGAACCAACAAAAAAGTTGTGACAAAGACTACGTTCCTTGACCTATCACCTACATTTTAAAAATTTTAAACTGCATATGATAAAGGAATTTTCAATTTATAAATCATGTTAACGCCTAATTCAATTTGGAATTTTCCAAACGTTTAATGGCTGAGGGTTGAATATATATGAATGTTAATTAATAATATAAATACTATTAAATGTGGTTCGTTAAAAAAACTATTTGATTTGAAAGAATTAATCCAAAAATGTCTACTTAATTTAGCCAATAGAATTAAATAAATCAAACAATTAAACAAATTTAACAATAAATACTCAAGTTTTCCTTTCACTCCTATAACCTTCCTATATATATAATTTCAATATAACCTATAGTAAATAGAATATACTGAATAGCTGATTTGATCGCCACTATATTCTGAACATGATTACGTTTTTCTGAACATACTGTAGACTGAAGATTTTGGAAAACATTTATTATTGTATAATGATTTCCACGACACGAGAAACAGATTTTAATGTACTGAGCAACTGGAAATTTCATTCTGAGCCCAAACGTTTTTCTTAAGACACGATTACCTATAAAGAATCAGAAGATTAATATTTTTGTCCGAACAGCTCAGTTTGTGCTAGGTGGATGACGTTTTCACTTTGAAATGGTGTTTTGTATACGTGCAAACCAATTATCTGAAGGATATTCGAAAGATATTCTCCAACCACAACTGCTTGAAGTGACCATGTTGTAACCCTCTTCTGAACAAACAAATTAACCTTCAGCAATGACTATTCTGTATATTCCAAAGCTGGTCTTATAGGTATTTTATTCTATATATAGCGAAAACAATTATACATAAATATATATTATATTAATTAAGCTTGTAGCTTTGAAAGTCTGTATGTCCAATTAACTACCTCCACAATTCTGGAGCTAACAGGATCAAGTTTGGCAGGCGGACTCAAGGTGGCCCGAGAGGTTTAAAACACCCAGAAGCTACCTAGGCGTGGTGTCGGTCTAGGAGTGGGTTTTCATGGTTATTAAACCCGAATATGCAATCCGATTTTTTTATTCCTGATCTCCCTCTCCCGTGTTTGAAACTGCTTTCATACGCCCAATGACAGGCTAACGGGACCACCGGCAGGCGTCCTAATGTTTTGGGTTTTTTTCAGGTAAATCCCCCATCCCCCTATACACACCTTGAGGTAACTGTAGAAGCGATTGTTGATAATGGAGGAGCTTGATCGGTACACTGGGGTCTTTGTGAATCATCAGGGGGCCTTTGAACCCCACAGCGGAACATGGGTATTTTAAGATAGTATAGTGAATATGCCAACATTCTCGAAGTAGAGATCTAAAAACTTGATCACCTATTCTGGAATCTGTTACTCAGTCCATTTCTAAGTAAACTCATATTCCAACTAGGCTTAGACGTTATAATACTGGATTCGCAAGCTAAGGGTCTCGAGGTCGGATCCCGTCTCCGAACATGTTCACACTTTCAGCTGTAGGGGCGTTATAATGTGATAGTTAATCTCACTAATTGCTAGTAACTAATAGCCCAGGCGGTAGGTGGTGTTGACTATCTGTTTTTCCTATAGCCTATCACTTCAAAATTAGAGACGGCTAGCGCAGATAGCTCTCGAATAGCTTTGCGTGAAATTAAAACAAACAATCTTCCGACTATTTCAGTTAAACATTTTTCGAGATTTTTTGACACCAAAGAAAATAGAACTAAAGAATATAACCAGTTATTTATCGGTTGACCCAGTATTATTAATGAACCTTTTACTTGACCACTATCTATCACATTCGAATAATTACTTTTGCAATTGAATAAGAAATGAATCTATAGCATTTATTAGTTTATTCGAGTCTGTGATAAAATGACAAATGGTAAAAGATGTCTTGCTTTGTGTTTAAGGTCTTCTTGTGTAATATATTCAACACCAGTCTAATGTATTTTAAACCCAATATAGGTGTGTACGCGGCTTTTCAACCCCAAAGACATGGGTCGCATTTACGGAAGTCACTATTTACGATTATACCTGTGGTCTTTAAATTTGCGAGCGATGAGTGGTGTTCTTTTTATGGCCGTCATACACACGATTTTTTTTGGGGGGGAGATTAGCATACGTAAAGACCAAAATTCAGCCGTCTACCGAGGCACAAAGATAATAAAAAAGGCTATTAAAGTTACTAAAGTAGTCTGTCTCATTCGCCCTCCCCCTCGTTTCACCTGTCGTTCTTCTTCAGAGCTGTCTTTTGTGAGGTTAGATGAGCTTTCCAAATAAACCGCCACCTGATGGCCACTCTCGACATCAGAGACGCCGCTGTTATCGCATATAGGTTTAATGGTGAAGGATGTCTAGCCTTAGTTATAAAACAAGCATACCCCTAAAACATTTAGCCAACTGCAAATGCACTGTTTACAAGATTATAAGAACGACCGCTTTCGTCCAGGTATACACAAAATACGATTTAAGTTATGTTCCAGGGTCTTCGGCAACTGTGAAGAATCCTCTTCTTTTACAATGCCATCTACACATTTACTAAACACTAGAATTTTTTTCTTTTTTTTTGTATATATATATTATTATATTGTTTTAATATTTTTTTCATATGATGTTTAACAAGATAATCTATAATTTAAATTTAGATAAATATTCAACATTTATGCAAACTTATAACAATTAAAATAAATAAATAAAAAATGTTGGGTTATTAATTCTTACCCTAAAAAGACTGATTTATAAATGACTTAAGTGAAATTTATAATAATTACAATTCGCTTGCATAATCTGGCTTACACCATAAAAGTCGTTGTTCAAGAAAATTGATAATATGTATATATATAGCGCGTAGGCTACTACTGTGGCTATCGTATCTCAGTTGTCCTGAAGAGCCTTGGTATTGGGCGAAAGGCTTCGTCGGCACTGGATATAGCAAATCCTTTGTGGTTTAC